TTTCGCGGCCGTCATGTTCACAGCCAAGGAAAAAATAGGGCGGCTAGAGAAAGCTAGGCAAAGCTAGGGAAGGTAGAGAAAGCTAGATTATTACTTTGCTCATCTGCCGAAGATTCGTGGCTTTGAAAGATGGAAACGGTAGGTAGGTCCGGAAACAAAAAACGCTGGGCTTTCTAGCCTCAAGAATGGAAAGTTAAACCCTAAACCACGTGCCCCACCATGCAAACACTACGCCAACCTAGATAGAAAATGCTAGACAATGCTAGATAATGCTATGCTAGACAGTGCTAGATAATGCTAGAAAATGCTAGATTCGGGCCAGGTCCCGGAGGACCAGGGATGTTAGAAAATGCTAGACAATGCTAGTCGAAAACTCTCAGACAGCCATGACGGAACGTGCAGTTCCCAAGTTCAGCGGGTTGGTTTCGGAGTGAAGGAAAAGGTTAGCTGCATGGTTTCTGAACGAAGAAAACGTCTAGCAGCAATTGTTGCTGAAAGCAGGAAATATGTAGCAGAGTGGTTTCTTGAGCGCAGGAAAAATCTAGCTTTATCTAGCTCCCGTGCTCGTGTGCCGGCTGTGAAGACGACGGCTTGCAGCATGCTATCAAAGAGTTCCTAAGAGCAGAAGCCAGCCACAGTCTACGTGACACAAAAACACGGCTTGTCAGAGAAGATGCTGGGTATCACGCCATGCCTGCGAAAACCGTCAGGACATTGTTCTGACATGTCCAGCAAATCCGAAATGGTACGACTTTTTGCTGAATGCTGGTGTAGACAACCAGAATTCTGAAACCTTCTGGTTGTGAACGCATCATCGCAAGGGCATTGAAGATCACCCGACGCCCTTGCAGTTTAGGGTATAATGCTGGGCAACCTGCATGAAATGGTCTGTACTCTATTAGCTTTCGACACTCATTGAGAGCCCCTTGCAGCACATCTCACATCTATCACAGTATGCTGCTGTGTACGAGTGATCATGCCGACAAGTATTGTATAGCTCTTTTTTGCCGATGAGTGCCTGCGCATACAACCACAGATAGTACTGTCTTCCACAATGCACCTTGTGTAAGGTGTATTATGGTCAGTTATGCTGTCGATGCTAAAAATAATATGATAACCGCTGCAAACAAAACTATCAGAGATATAGTCGTGCGCATGTCCCAATACTAGCAACGTAAAGCACCTCCATCCGTCGGCACTTTTCTTTTCTTGAACTACGACTATTGCCATCGATGACGATGCCAAGCCATACCATGCCATATGATTGAATATGCACCTCATTCCTGATGACTGGCACTCTGCATTCACGAATATCTTCAATCTATCTATCTACCCATCAGTTTGTCTATCTACCTAATCACGTATCTATCTATCTATCTATCTATCTATCTGTTTGCCTATCTAGCTAGCTATCTATCTGGGTGGCTGGCTAGGTGGCTAAGTAGCTAGCTCTCTTCTTCTTCAACTTCAACACAGACAGAGGAAGGCAGGTTCCCCTACCCTCCCCGCGCGTGTGTGCGCCCTGCGTTCGTGCCGGTAAACTGTTGTCTCGCTCTCTCGCTCTCTGTCTCTGTCTCTGTCTCTGTCTCTGTCTCTGTCTCTGTCTCTGTCTCTGTCTCTGTCTCTGTCTCTGTCTCTGTCTCTCTGTCTCTCTGTCTCTCTGTCTCTCTGTCTCTGTCTCTGTCTCTGTCTCTGTCTCTGTCTCTGTCTCTGTCTCTGTCTCTGTCTCTGTCTCTGTCTCTCTCTGTCTGTCTGTCTGTCTAGAGTCTATTGAACCATCAA